TCCCTGGATTTAAATAACCTGTCGAACGGTAGGGTGAAGGTCCGGTCCGGGCGATTTTATCGTGATGGAAACGGTCCGTCGGAGTAATGGGGAATCCTGTCTTTATGTTGGCTCGGTCGACGGTAAGAAGTCGTCCGGGGAAGTGCTCAGCCTTCAAGGTAGCGGAAGGAGGAGTATGTGGAGGAGCTGGAGGAGAAGGTTCGGTCCATGAGCTCTTACGGTCGCTGAATTTGGACAGTAAAATCTCGTTTATTATGGTGGAGAATCTGAGTCTAAAGCAACAGTTGGGTGGCAGTGGAGGTAGTAGCTTTCCGCCTGGTCTTTACCCTCCGCCTTCTTCTGCCTCCTCGCATTTCCCTTCGGCTCCTTATACCCCGCTTGCGTTTAGGCTGCAGGGTTCTCCAGTTCCACTGGTTCCTATACCCAAATTGAAGTCCCAGCCAGTTGCAGACTTCCAAACGACAGGGAAATGTGAGAAGAAGAAGCGTTAAAGCAAAATTAGGAAGGTGGCAAGTACGCCACTTTTGGGGTTTTTATTTTTGTTTTGGTATGTACTGGTCTGAGGAGTTCAATTTAAAAGTGGTTTGTTGGGTTGTCAAATGGTATGGTTCTGAGTGTTAGTGGTCGTACTAGGCGTTTGATTAGTTCTGAAAAGGTCGGCTTCAATAATGGAAAGAAAGGTAAAATTGGAGTTGATAAGAGTTTTCAGAATGTAAAGGTGGGATCAGGAGCCAAACCATGGCCTTTTGGTGGCCGCATGACTACCTAGAATTCCAGTGAGAGATTTTCTGCTCGTCTGTATGTCCCTAGAGATTGAAAGCGTATCGAGATCAATGGGACACGGGGCGAACTTTTGAGCGACGAAAATTGACCAGCGGGTTGAGGTCAGGGTGGGGTGCGACCGGAAATAAATTATGGATGGCAATTGGTGAAGTGGTGGCCAATTGGTCAAAAGCAGCTGACAAGGTAACTCCCGCGCACGACAGAGATGTGGCCAGGAGACATATGTTGCTTTGACAACAGATCTACGAAGAAAAACAGTCTTTTGGTAATCGCCGGTGGCGGGGAGTAAAGGAATTAATCTATTATGATTTTAGCTCCATGTTGTGTGCCTTCTAGTTGTCAGAACAATCCACACTCACCACACTTTTTAGAATGTTGAATCCAAATCTATTTAGTAGATCGTATCCAAGAAACAGAGCATTACACCGAGAAAAGAGAGAAGGAGAGAGAGAGAAGGGGAGAAGAGGAGAGAAGGAGAAGGAAAAGACTTGCCTTGTCGGGGTGCAAATTGGGGTATCCTAGGGCCGATGACCCATTTTATTCCAGAAAGAAATGATGTCACAAGTGAGGGGAACCAAAAATTCATTTACATGAAAGCATGACTAAAAAGTGAATCACTATATTACCCTTGCTTTGAAAGGGCAGTATAGGATATATTTAGTCTTTTATGTTGGTGTGCTCTCCTAAATACCTCATCAACTATTGGATCTGCCATTCGAGTCGTGGGAAGAAGTCCTCCGTCAGAGGGGAAAAGCCCTCCTCATGAGAAAAATCATTGTTTAGAAGAGAGGTCCTTAGTCGGGAAGAAAAAGTCCTCCCTCGGGGGAAAAGTAGGCTATCTGAGAAAAAGTCAGCCGATAGTAGCCAATCTAATGGGAGCAGACTGCAACTTGCCTCAAGATCCGTGCTGATAATATTTGTATATACAATAATGCTATCTTACATACTCAAGAAAAGTTATATTTGGCTTTTTTAGAAGTTAAAATGATAGTATTTTTTTATGTGAAATGAAAGATTTAAGTACTTTAAATGCAAAATAAACAAACTTAAGTATAAGTTATGGCTTTATTAGAGAATTAATTAATAATGTCAATTTAAATATCCAATAGCTCTTGTAGCTCAGTTGGTTAGAGCACCCGTTTAGTAAGCGGGAGGTCTTGAGTTCGACTCTCAACAAGAGCAAATGATTTTTTCATTTTAGGATGGTTTGCAGATAGATCCGTTTAAACACCTACTTATTTACAAACATGGCATCGTTTTTGCTATATTCCTGAGTTATATTTATGACTAATTTGCCACTACAAAGTAGTACGAAAAATAACATGATAATTTTATGCAATTAAAACTCACAAATACAAATGAGATTAAACTCAACCCTTGTATAGTATGACTTTTTACAGCTGAAGCATTCTTAAGATGTTTGCTTCATGATGCATCCCTCTCCGTCACTCTCAATATACTGTTTCAATACTCTTAAATCTACACTCTTTATTATAAACTTCATTTTTTACATTGACATCATATAAATCTTTCTTATCACATCAAAATACCACCATTTTTAACTTTAAAAATAAAATATACATTTTCATTCGCAGGAAATGTGGCATGCACTTAAAAATTGGAATTGAGGGGTATGCATATAAATTCTCCAAATCTTTTCATGTGTAGTGGCCGCAAAAATGTTGTTGGCTAGTTTTTCCTTTAAAAAAGTATGATTCTCACTATAACTTCTTAATAAATTAATTTCATTACTACATCTATAATCACATTTATCCAAAAAAAAAAAAAAAACCATAGCCGACACATAAGCTGCAATTATTGCATTCCAAGATTAAATAACATAATTTTTGTTAGACCACTGAGAAAATTTTCTTTGCATACTTTAGACTTTCATATTTTGCATGCATATGAGAGCATTCCCGTGCAATGATCTCTTCCTTCTGGCATATTTGCCTTCGTTGCACATGATACAAAGTAATTGATGACTGCAATTAGGAGCGTTAACAAATATTGTCCGCAGTTCTCTTGCAGATGTCTGCAAATTTGCCTTTGTTGCACAAGATCGACTTTTGGGTTAGATTTGGCCTAAAAGCGTGACACCACGATGGCCAGAAATTCTTTTTCGGTTTTTGTATTTAATAATCTTTAAGCTCCATGAGCCCCTTGTAATGATAATTTATAATTATTATTTTAAGTTGCATTGAGCTATGACACATCATTTAAAAAAAATAAGAAAGTGAGAAAACATACCTACAAAATGTGTTAGACCATAGATTTTGAAAGTGAGAAAACAATATTAATTCAAATTAATGTTATAATAAAATAATACAACAATAATAACAAGCATTTATCCCACTAAGTGGGGTCGGCTACATGAATCCATATTTTTCAAGAAAAGGTGTATTTCACTTTTTAAGAGTTAAAATGATGGTATTTTTGATGCGATAGGAAATATTTGGGTGGTATAAGTCTAAAAAATAAAATTCAGGTGTTAGATACGTAAACACATTGATTCCTATGCATGTAAATGACCCATAAATAATAGATGACAAACGCAAGACCCCCAACTAGCATACTTAGTAGTCGGTAATAAAGTTCACAAAAATGACAACCTGCAATGAATTCACCACCAAGAACATGCTTCCACTTCTTAACTGCAAATTCAATCTATAATTCAACACACATCTTAAGACAAAACATATATGAAAATCTGCAGAACAAAAGGAATTTTATAGGATTTAGTGACTATTCTACACTGCAATAATGAGCAAGCAGGTTCGAGTATCTAACAAAAGATTATGTATGCTATTGGGTTCATTTATATGTGAAAAACTGAACATAAAAGAAAAAAAGAGTGCAAGATAAATCACCAGAGAGACACACAAGTAGCCTCGATGACCCGAAATTCACCAGATGTCATGCAGCTGAAGTTAGTTTCTGATCAATTTTTGAAAAGTCAAAATAAGTAGAAAAGATAGTAAACACGTAACATAAATGGTTAATTTAAAAAAATAAGATGACAGTTACAAGAACTAATAAAAAAAGTTGGGGAAAAAGCAATGCTTTAAAACTTCTTTTGAGTATAATAATTTTGTTTTCCTTTGAAAAAAATTGTATAGTTTTCTCACCATTACTATACTCTAGCAAATCTAATTATATAAATCTCTTACTCATAACAAAATGTTCAGAAAAATAATTAAGAAAAAAAGTTTTAACCAAATAGAAGAAATGCAGTGGTTTGTAAAATAAAACCATGAAATGCTATCCCACGTTCAAATTAGAAGTACATAAAATACTGGTCAATAGTGAATAGCATGTAATAACAAAAGTATCCATGTGGAGCTATAGTGTATGATGCAACGAGCTGTTTCAAATATAGCGCAGAATATTAACAAAACAATAAATAAAAATATTGTTAAATATGAAAGTATACAAGATTAAAAATAAATTGAAGTGAAAATAAACACAATCAATGTGATACTACAATTCAAATGTTAAATATCTCAACAAATAGATTAAATTTATAACATAAATAAGAAAAAAATATAATGAAATTTTTGCAAGCCGTATCTCAAAGTCATTATAAAATTTGATAAGTGCATATCCAACATCAAATAGCATTATTTATACTTCTAATTATTTAACAGCTCAAAGTCAATAAAAATTTGGATACCTAATACTTCATGTAGTACTTGATCCTAACTTAGAGAAAATAATATAAAATTACATTGTCATTATTTTATAAATAATAAGAGAAATAGAAAAAGACAGCAATTTTCATACTTGCAAGGCAAACTAGTGAAACAACTCAATCAAACAACAAAAAATAGTAGCAAAGAAAAGGAGGCCCAACGCTTACATGTTTATCTTATTCAATTCATAAATTAGAATAAAGCTAAACCCTTAACCTAAGAGAAAATAAAATCAATAAAGAAGATGTACATAATATTAACATGAATGTTAAACCCTAATCAAAATAATGTGTGCCATTCAGACAATGCATCATATGCCATTGTCCATGAATAACATAAGCAAATGGTGCACACCGTTTGACGCTATTGGCATAGACTACAGCAATTCAAGTAAACGATGACCTACTGAGACCACATATCAAACAAATATAAGAAACTAAATGCTTTAAAAATGCATAAGTACCTCAGAGATGCAAATTATGAAACCGCCCTATCAGAAGTAGTAACAAACATGCAAGCAAAGCATTGCAGTAACTGCAACATTTACTTTCCCAATAGTATCCCATTCAAATCCTACAATATCAATGTTCTACAACCCAACCCAATCAATGAGCAAATACAGTATCATTCCTCCTTGGAGGTCTATCAGGAATAGTTCCAGGTTTAAACTTAGAAGCCTCGTGCCTGGCAAGCTCAGGCGGCACTGGGCTATTGCTTTGAATAAGCATCTGCTTAAGATCATAAAACACCTCAGTGTCACTCAAGGTCAAAAAAGTAGTTGCCACACCGGTCTTCCCAGCACGCCCGGTACGGCCAATTCGATGTGTATACATGTCGATGGTGTTGGTCATCTCATAATTTATGACATGAGCTACATCTGGAATATCAATTCCACGTCCTGCAACATCTGTGGCTACCAGAATATTGAAACGCTTATTCCTGAACCCCTCAAGGCTAATCTCTCTCTGCTCCTGCGATTTACCTCCATGCAAAGTTGTGACCTTGTAACCCAACTTGTCTAGATCCTTAGCTCGTGCATCAGCATTCTTCTTTGTATTGCAGAAAACAATGGCTGTCTTATCGCCAAGATCATCCAGCAGCTTCAAAAGCCTAGGCATCTTCTCCGATGCCTTCAGCATAATCACATGCTGAGTAATTAGATCAGTGGCTTTTCCAGCTGTGCCAATAGTCACAACCACAGGATTCCTCAAATACTTCCGAGCTAGCCTCTCCACCGCTGGAGGCATGGTGGCACTGAACATGTAGGTTGTTCGGTATATTCTCTTCTCATCAAGCTCCTCATCCTCATTCTCAGGCTTCAAATTGCTTGAAGGCATTGCATCCAAAACACCAACAACCTGAGGTTCAAACCCCATGTCTATCATTCTATCAGCCTCATCAAGAACAACATAATTACATTGGTTAAGGACGGCGTATCTGCGCTCCAAACAATCAAGCAGACGGCCTGGAGTGGCAATAACAACCTCACAACCCTGCCTAAGCTTGAATCCCTGCTCCTCTATGGACTGACCACCGACAATTGAAACTACCTTGATTCCCAAAAAGTGAGCAAATTTCACAGTTTCATCTTCAATCTGCTGGGCAAGCTCCCTTGTGGGAGCCATGACGACAGCATAAGGGCCCTCAGCCTCGTTTTCCTCTGTCATGGGGGGTAAACGAGTGATGTACATAAGCATGGGGAGGACAAAGGCAGCCGTCTTTCCCGAACCAGTCTCAGCTATGCCAATAACGTCACGCTGCTGCAAACCTAGAGGAATGGCAGCCATCTGAATGGGAGATGGCTTCTTGTAGCCAGCCTTCTCAACAGCCTTAAGTAGCTCAGTACTGAGCTTGCTCTCGCTCCATTTGCGCATAGGCCGAGGGATACGCGATCCCTTGTAGGAGATGTTGTAGTCTTCACGGAAGATGCGCCAATCTCTCTCGGTCATTTCCTCAAGGGTCTTCTCAGTCCAATGCCGATCCACGCGCATGTCAAAAGCATCGTAGAGCTCTGCAGCAGCCTCTTTCTTGCGCTGGGCAGCGGCCTCCTCCGGCTTCTCCTCCACCCCCTCCTTCCGCCGAATCTCCTCGCGGGTCTCTTTCTCGTGCCTAGCGGCTTGTTTCTTCTGCTCACGGCGATCAATTCCAGCCAGGAAGCCGCGACCAAAGAGAAGGCGGGCCTCATGAGGGTTCTGGTAAAGCGAGTTCATGTCGCGGGAAGTGTCCTCGGTGTTCTCCCAGTCAAAGGAGAAACGGAACTTCTCGCTGGGTTTGATAACGCGCTTCTTAGGCTTCTTCGAGCCGAGGTATTGCTCCTTGATTGATTCCAATTCCTTCTCCTTCTCTCGCTCCGCCTGCTTCTCGACACGAGCACGCTCACGACTCCGGGTATCCTCTTCGCGATCACGGTCCCGATCGCGGCGGCGTTCCCGGTCTCGATCCCGATCGCGGTCGCGATCATGGTCGCGTTCCCGGTCTCGATCCCGATCGCGTTCCCGATCTCGGTCGCGATGTGAGCGGTGGTTGGAATCAGCAGTGGATTGAGGCGCGGAAGAAGATGGAGGTGCTTCAGAACAGTTTTTGGGGCGGGATTGCTCAGCGAGCTCGAGAGCACGGCGTTTTTGCTCTGCCGCCTCTTCTTCCCGACGCTGTAGGGCGAGACGCTGGCGCTCTGCCTTGGAGATGAAAACGGGTTTACCGTCGGCGGCAGCGGGAGGCGCGTTGCGGTCGCGGTCGCGGTCATCGAAGGAGCGCTTCATGGGTTCGTCAAGAGCGGAAGAGAGAAGTTAGGGTACAGAGTCGCGGTCGCTTGGTTCCTCGCAGGAGGGGAAAGTAGAGTTGCAAATGTTGTCGGGTCCAATTTCAGTGAGGTGATGAGCACATGTAGCCCTCTGGACTTCAAAGTTTATTTGTTTAATAGACCACATTTCAGGGTTAAATTTAAAATTCACTAAATCTCATTATTCATATAATTAAAAGGAATTTACATCCATAACATTCCAAATATTATTATTTATATATTTATTTAGCACAGGAATTTTTTTATTTACATCATCTAGCATTCCCCTTTAAGATCAAACATTGTTGAAAATTCATCCTAAGAGTTCAAAAACAATTGGAATCATACGGCCCAATGACATGAAGAGTTAAGGTTATTGATGATTTTATTTTATTTTAATATTTTGAGTGATACATACATATAATAGTAAAGTTATTGAAAAATATGTGAATCCTAATACTTTACATGGGATGTATTTAATTTCCTCTCTTTTTCCACACACACACCCAATCAATCGCTCAATGTATATATAAGACAATGAACCCATTACCTCTTTTTTGAAACACAAATATGTCAACTAATAAGCCAAAGTGGCTTGCTATTTATGTAAGTCCATTTATAATGTAATGTTTTTAGAAAATTTCTTACGAATATTAACTCATAAAATAAATATTCAAATAATATATCATGACTGAATAAAATAAGACTGCCAATATTCAAAACTATTTGAGAATTTAACTTGATCTTGACAAGAAAAAAATCATAATGTTTGGGAGAATTTGTGAATCAAATACGTGATGTGTTTATTGTATTTTTTTTTAATTTATCTCATTAATATTACGATAATATGCTTATGAAAGTTATAATTGTTGTGTTTTGCAGTGTTTAGAGAAGATTGTGCAATTCAGAGGGCAAAAGGAGAGGATGCTAACCTACAGTGTGGCATAATTATGCTAGAGATCAAAGAAGGTGGCATATGTGAGCCAATATGCGGTGTAATTGCGCAGCCCTATGGTGTAATTACAAAAGTTTTGGGCCCAGCTATGCTCAAGTTTGTACAGACTCCCCCATTTGATGAATTTAGCATGTTTGGAGGTGGTTTTGAAGTCCTAATCGATATAAGGAGATGTATAAAGACATAAAGAGTTTTTTGTATCTCTTACATGGTTTTCCATTTTATGCCCGAAATAATAGTTTTTTTTTCTTTCTTTTCTCATGCATCACATTAATCTTACTTTCTTACTCATGTATTGTAAGACGTGATTTTTTTCGTTGTTTTATCCTATGAATTTCATTTTGTAGATGTTTTCTCCGTGTTTGAATTTCTTATGTTGATGTGTTAACTTTTTGGCCTTAACTTACTTCTAATCTGTATAATGTTAAAATCCATTGTGAACTTGGACATCTAGCCATCACTTAAAAGAACAAATAGGTTAACACACAATAGCTTGATAGAATAGACATATATTATTAGAAAATTACAACCTAGATTAGGGACTACAGGATTCCTGAAAAACTCTACATGTTTAAGCCTCGTTAACTATAATATAGTTTTCAACATTTTCTATGACCTAGACATAAGCTAAGGATGAGTTGTCTCTAGTTGCTAACAATAATATGGGTTTTTATAGAAAAAATATCAAAAAATCACTATACTTGTGTCATAGGAGTATAAATATTTCTTCTCTGAAATACTTCAACAAAATTTAGTTTAGTTTTTTACCTTTTCGGAACTCAGAACTTTTAACATTTTCATATCTAACACGTCAAACTATATTCATAGGTTTAGTAAGCTAAAACCTCACATGTTAGAATATTTTGACAACTTTTGTCGAAGGATCGTTACACAAACTTTTTATCTGTATATTATGTGATCGACGCATAAACTTGCGTCACTGACTGATTGTCCTCTGTTTTATATCACTTTGTGAAACTCAACACTATGATATTTGGTGTCAATATTTGATCATTGCTTGAAATTTTAATTCAACCACTAGCTTGTTAACTAAACTATCTATTGTTAGAGTTCCAATTGAGTTGGGCATATCACTTAATTTTGAGAAAGAGTTTGGTTGGGTTCAAAGCTGATTGACTACCTTTAAAAAATTGAATTCGATAAAATCCATTGATTTAAACTTCGCCCCACTGGAAGAACCAAATTAAGAGTTTAACTATCAATGGTGCTTTTATAAATCTCGGTTATATTTGAGCCATTAGCTCTAATTCAACAGAATTAAAATAAATTTCAAAAATTGTGAATTATTCAATTCAAATTGCTTAAAAAAAGATCTGAATAGCCAAAATGAGTCGATTATAAAAATTTTGACACTTCTCACATATAAAAGCCACACGATAAATATGGTTCAAATCATTAAACTTCACAGCTAATTTTTCTCATTTCAGTAATTCATGTTAGTCATCTGTCATTAGAATGTCAGTGCAAAAATTTACACAGCATAATCAGTATTTTTCACATACATCAACAGGGAATTAAAATTAGAACAAAAAAAAAAAAACTACAGGGATCCTCTGCTGCAAGCTCCCCTGACAAACTTTCTTCGCCCTACAGGGATCCTCTGCTGCAAGCTCCCCTGACAAACTTTCTTCGCCATAGAAGAAAATTAGTAACTAAAATAAAATAAAGGTTTAACGACCATAAGTATCATCTTCTTCATTATCAGAAATACCGAGCATAGCAAGAGCTAAATGACCTCCCATATCACTTCTCTCTCGTGCTTCATGAAACTGTGAGCCGTAACCTGTGAGGCAGCCATTGCTGCTAAACAAAGACCATTCGCTGCAAGCAGTCCCTTCTTCCCCCAGCAGCATTGCAAGCACCAAATCAATGCTCGGTCTCGTCGAATCTTCACAACTTAAACACGCATTAGCTGCTCGAACCATTTGGAACATCTCCCTCCTGCGGTACGACCACGGTATTAAACTCGGATCAACCAACTTCTCGATGGCATCATCACCTTGAAGCAGAAGTGGCTTCGCCTGTCCGGATTCAAATATGAGTATGATGGTATGAAACACGTTTAAGCTTGTCATTGTAGTAATTAAGTTGTTACAATAATGAGTTTGAGTGAAAATATGAATATGAATCAATGGTTTCATAATTCTGACATGGTGCAAGCTTCTAAAATTTGCATCTTCGATCATCGTTGAGAGTTTTGTGCTATTTCAGGTCAAATATTCGAAAGAAATATTGTTATTTGAAACAATATGAAAGCATAGAAAATCACACAACAATAATCAACCACAAAAGATTTGTGATTCGGCATTAAGTTGATTCGCCTAAGTCCACGGAGGGAGTTCCCACTAGTACAGGATAGAAAGAAAGAAAAAAAATGACTTAGGGTTATAATTTAATACTTCATCTCCATAACTCTCTTATAAGCCCAAAGTACATTTTATAGAGGAGGACTAGGGAATACAAATAAATAAAGCCAAAAGACCAAATTACCTCGAATTACAATAAAGCCATAAATACAACAACTCCACCTCATCTTTTACTTCTAGATAAGTAAGATGATCAAATGAGCTCAAAACTCCAATTCAGCTAGACCAACATGGTTGCTTACGCACCACCCCACTTCTGAAAGAATCAAACTTGTGCAGTTCTTCAAAATGCCCGACTGGACAATTAGTCATGAGCTCGGATGCTCGCCAAACCCTTGCAGCTGATCAACTTCTGGAATGTTAATACTTTCGTAAGCATGTCCACTAAATTCTCCTTTGTATTTATCTGTTTCAACAAAATTTTGTCGTTATCAATCAAATACCGAATAAAGTGTTACCTCACATCAATGTGTATGGTATGAACATGATGGAGTGGATTTATGGCCAATAATATTGCACACTAACTGTCACAGAACACTGTCAGAGACTCCTGATTAATTTCCAAGTCATCCAATAGATCTTGCATCCATTGCTTCTTTCATCACCTCTGTGACTGTCATGTATTCAGCTTCTGTAATTGACAAAACAACAGTAGACTGAAAAACTGACCTCCAACTGACTGGAGTTCTTGTCAATAGAAACAAATAGCTAGTCGTAGACCTCTGACTATCCATATAACATGCACAGTTTAAGTCAGTGTAGCCCACACACAAATCTGCATTGGATGATCGTCTCTCAAACACCAGACCAACATTAGTTGTACCCTTCAGATACCTCAAAATACTTTTCACAGTTTGCTAATGACTCCTGCCTGGATCATGCATGATCTGCTCACAACACTAACTACTTTTGCAATGTCTAGTCTAGTACAAGCCATGCCATGCATCAGATTGTCCACTGCAATAAGGAACCGATCGCATATCCTGTCCTGATCATCTTTAGGACACTAATCTGAACTCAATGTCTCAGTGGTGTATAATCCTTCGTTCGGCTAGTCCTGTGAATGCCTTTTGTTTGGCTAGACCTACAGATGATGCCTTTTGTTTGGCTAGTCCTACATATGCGATAGGTAGACTGACAACCCTGCTCGAGTTATCAATCCCAATTTTTTTTCAACACTTTTCAAACATAAGCTCCTTGTGAAAACTAAACTTTTTCAATTATCTTATCCCTGAGAATCTTCATGCCAAAAATTCTTTGAGCTTCACCCAACTCCATTTTGAAATGACTGGACAGTTGATTCCTCATCGTATCAACATCAATCTGACTAGCATATGCAATCAACAAATCATAAATATATAGAAGCATATGAACTCACCATTGATCAACTTCTTGAAATATGCAGAATGGTCATATTGGCTCCTTGTATATTCATGTCCCCTCATGAACTGATCAGATTTTTTATACCACTGTCTTGGTGGCAGCTTCATCCATACAAAGACTTGTCTAGTTTACAAACCAACTAAGTCTTTTGAAGCTCCACATCTAAGCGAGTGCAACATGTAGATCTCCTCTTGCAATTCTTAGTGTATGAATGTACTCTTCATGTCAAGATGTTCCAAGATCAGACCTTATTATGCTACGAGTGCTAAGACAACACAGATTGAGGGATGTTTAACCACTAGGGAAAATACTTCATCATAATCAATTCATCCTTGTTGCGCAAAGCCTTTTGACACTAATCTTCTCTTGTACCACTCACCAACTCCATGAGATCCTTATTTGCATACACTCGTTTGCACCTAATGGTTTTCCTTCCAGGAACAAGCTTCACAAATCTCCAAGTACAATTTTTTTTGTAGAGACTATCTCTTCATCCATTGCCGCTCTCCAAAGATCATAGTCTAAGCTCTCCACCACTTTTTTTAGTGGCAGAATTTCTATGTCTGTAGCAAAAAGTGGAAATACAATGTGATCCCTCAATGAAGCTTATTTTGGGACATTCTGGTGTCAGGTCCTGCTCTTATCAATAGATATTTTAGCAGGAATCTCAACTTTAGCATCTTCTTCTGCCTCCTAAGAACTATCATCAAATACCTCATGAGCTACAACTGAATCAGATAGCTGAGTTGGAGTGGACGAAATTTGTGGAACAAATGCAGTTGCATCAAACTCTAATTTATGTTGCATATATATGGTTCACTATAACTCTTCGTCTGCTTTGAGTCTCAATTTTTTAACAAGTTTGCCTCGTCAAATGTAATATCCTTGCTAATGACAACTTTCCTTTCTGACTGATCATTGAACTTGAATCCCTTGACTCCACACTTGGAGCCAATGAAAATCGTCTTCTTTGCTCGTGGTTCTAGTTTATCATTTCGCACGCGGTAGTAAGATGGACGCCTAAACACTCTCATATGCTCATAATCTTTAGTAGGATGTCCAAACCACATCTCATTTGGGATCTTCTTCTCAGTAGCTGCAAAAGACATACGGTTTATCGAATGACAGACATATTTTATGGCCTCTGCCCAATAGATTTTATCCAACCCAACATTGGATAACATACACCGAACTTTCTCCACCAAAGTTTGGTTCATCATCTCCATCACTAAGTTATGTGGTGATGTTTCTCGAACAGTGAAGTGGTGTTTTATCTTGGTTTTCTGACACACCTGCAAAAATGCATCTAAAGTATATTCTCCCTCATTGTCTAATCTAATACACCAGTTCTTTTTATCAGTTTGAGTCCTCATCTACTTCTTCCAAGTTATAAAAATCTCCAGCACTTCGTTTTTGCGCTTCATGGTGTACACCCAAACATACCTAGACTAATCATCAATAAAAGAGACAAAGTATCTCCGTCTGCTGAATAATGTCTTCGTCAAGGCCCAAAGATCTGTGTGAACATATACTAAAATATCTTCTGTAATGTGGATGACAGTTCCAAAAGATATCTTTGTCTTCTTGTCAAACCCACAATGTTCACAAAAATCTAGCTTGCAGATGCTCATTCTTTTGATCAATCATTTCTTCACAAAAGCTTGAAGTGAAGCTTCTTCAATGAGAGCAAGTCACGTATGCCACAATATAGTAGCATCAGAAGAATTATCAGCGACAGCAGTCATTCCAGTCATTGTATTACCCAGAAGATAGTAAAAATTGTGATAAAGAACTCCTCTCACAAATACTATTGCTCCGTGACATATTCTCAAAACTTCTATCTTAATAACTACCTTGTAGCCCTATGACTCTAAAATCCCAACTGACAGCAAATTCTTTCTGATATCTGAAATATGTTTAGCATCGGTCAGCTCTCTCACATTATCATTATCCTGATAAAGATATTTCCTACCCCAATAGTATGACAAGCTTTATCGTTGTCAACAATCATTGCACCGCTATCTAGCTCTTTGTACATACAAAACCATCCTCAATGAAGATAAATGTGATCGGTAGCACCATTATCTAGAATCCAACACGAATCATTTGTAAATAAACTATGAGAAACTGCAAATAATGATATATTTGAATCTACTTCTTCACATCTTTTCACAATGACAATAGTTTTCGTCATATGCAACTTTCTTTCCCTTCTCCATCAGCATCGGATAATCTTTCTTTCAATGACTAGTCTTTAAACAAAAAGCATACTAATTTTTCCCAAAACTCCGCCCACGAGACTTGCCTTATTTTTTAGAAGTGCCGTCACTGTCACATTTCCTTGCCAAATTCTTCTTATTATTCTTAGATTTGTCATGTTGAAGTGTAAGTGCCTCAACTGACTTCATCTTCTCAGACTTCTTGTCCCTTCAACTGATTAATGATTCAACAGCATAGTAGTCACTTCATACTAATTTAAGATATTTCGATGAATCAGTGTCATAGTGAAGTTTTCATACTCATCCGAGAACGAATTCAACATAATGAGTGTCTTATCTTCATCTCCAATTTCCTCATCCAAATTTAACAGATCAGCTAACAGCTTTCTGAAGTCATTTAAATGTTCATCAATAGTAACCTCCTATCTCATCTGAAATCTGTAGTCTCTTTATGAGATATTTGTTCTCCAGAATCCTACACTATTTCCCTGCAAAAGTCTCCACCATCACTCATATTTGATCTCATGTGTCAAGCAATTTCAGATCAAGCCACAAGCACTCTTCAGAATATTCTTCACTATCAATGTCAATGTTCTCTTTGTTGTCATATTATATCACATCAATTTTGACAGGATGTGTAATCAACTGATAAATCGATTTTTCCACTGTCATAGTGAATGTTGAAGAACCTGACATCGTGCTATCATTCATGATTATCATTGTTAGAATTCTTTTCCAAAAAAAAATTTATCTAGCATAATACTAGAAAAAAATAAATTCATAAAATAAAAATTCTTTTTTTTTTCTCTTTTTATGAAATTCTTCTATTTTTTCTGGTGCTTTTCTTTTCTATTCAAAATTAACTTCCCTATTCTTCCTAGAAATTTGTTTCCTTTTAAAATAAAATTATTTATTTTTTCCTTTTTATGATCCACACAAATAAGGCAAGGGCAAACTCAGCTTTCCCTCTTTTTTTAGAATTAAAGATTAGATTTATTTTCTTCTTTTTTCCTGGCTCTGGAAAGCTGATACCTTTCCTTCCTTGGGCATCTGATTTTGCAAAACTCAAACCTACACAAAAAATCTAGCACGTCGATCTCGTAGACAGGCCGATCGCCTGCAAGGCCATGTTTCCTCAAACCGAACTGTTGCAGATGAGGCCGCTGCCAGCCCGCTTGCAGCCGATTTGGTTGTCGGACACCGCAAAACTTCTTGCTGTTGGATGCCACCAGCCCACTTGTTGTCGAAACTGCCAGTAACAAATGTCGGATTCATTGTCGTTGACGTCGAACCATGCTCCAATCACGAACTCAAAGCTCTGATACCAATTTTTATGTGAAACAATATAGACCCATAAAAATTCACACAACAACAATCAAACACAAAAGGTATCACATTATAAGATAGAATTGTTATGTGAACATAAATACGAAAGCGTAGAAATTCACACAACAACAATCAAACACAAAAGATTTATGTGGTCCGGCGTTAAATCGATTCGTCTACGTCCATGGGGAAGAAGATTTAACTAGCACATGGTGGGGAGAAACAAAATTGTTTGGGGTTACAACTAAACACCTCTCACACCACACCAAAAACGGTCTGGGGTTACAGCTCAACACTTTCTCTCCACAACTCTCTTATAAGCCCTAAGTCCCATTTTTAGAGCACTATAGCATATAAGTAAAGCCAAAATGCCAAATTACCCTTAATTACAATAAAATCATAAATACAACAAAGATGAAATATTAGATAAGACACTACTCATAAATTTAATCCTCAAAGTATAGTGTGTAGTATTTCATTGCACAAATCCTCTAATAGGATGATAACAAATGTAAAAGCACATATTTATATATAAATCATACCAAAGGAGGCTGCTTGACAATACCCTGTCATCAATATGGTATATTTTACTAAATCAAATCATTCTAGATATTCTAACATTTAGTTGTTCATGGTAAGAGGATTTGCATGAACCGACAGAACATATGATGAGTAGCAATATCAAACAGCAAGATTGCAACAAACAGAAATAATGATAATAATAATAAAACTGACCCATACGACCAAGTTTTCATCTCCTTGAGGTCTATTCTGGTCGAGCGCTTTCCGACCAGTGATCAATTCTAGGAGGACAACTCCAAATGCATAAACATCTGTTTTATCTGAAAGTTTGCCATTTTGGAAGTACTCAGGAGCCAAATAACTGCATTGTAATATTATCTGAAAGGTTAATTACATGTGAAGCAGTTGAACGGTTTAACTGAGATTCCAAAAAAACATATTCATTATAATTTTACCCAAAGGTTCCTTTGACTGCTTTGCAAAGGAAAGGTAGGGATGGACCATGTGTCCATGTAGCCAGCCCAAAATCACAGAGCTGCCAACAGAAATAGGATTCACATCGATTTTAAGTACAAAAATAAGCAAATTGATTAAATAAGCTAGATTTGTGAGGATAACATCTCATGATAGTGACCACAAAGAATCCCTTGTTCCACAACCAACACTACTTTGGATAAAGTACATATTCCTTATGAGCTTATTTTTCCTTTATAGAATGTTTCTGCCTAGAAAAATAAAGTAATTTTCACAAATAATTAATGCAATATGCATCATGGTTTTCTGAAAAGAAAACTTGGGGTTCAGGTAAAAGAAATTCCCTCTTCTAAAGAGATTTATATGAGCCCGATTCCTACCACACACACACACACACACACACACACACACACACAAAATAAGGGAAAAAATATAGCTATTTTGAGATAAGCACGAAAGCAGACATTCATTCTGCATGAACGACCATATTTCAAATGCACACGAGGGAAGGTAGGTCTAGAAGCTCAACAACCGAATCTATCTAGTTGCTGCTTGCGTAGGAACGCAGCCAGATCCCTTCCATGAAAAGAAAGGGGTGGCCTGATATACTCATGATAAAATGAGATCAAATTTACTAATTTTTGTAATTAACTTAAGAAACAAATTAAGGGAATCAAATAAAAAGCATGAAGGGAGCATGAATGGTGGAATCTCACTATCTCACCATTGGACGTTTCTTAGAGGAAAGAAGAATATTTGAAGGCTTTATATCTCTGTGCACTACACACTTGTCGGTGCAGAAATGCAGGTACTCCACCGCACGAGCCAAACATACCGCCACCTTGTACCTTACCTCCCAAGGCAGCACCTTTCGCCTCTTTCCTGCCAAAATTCATCACAAAAACATCAATTTTATAAAAACCCTAAGCAAACTATTAAACGAAGAACATCATCCAAGTATAACAGTAGAAAAAGAGGAATCCATTACCGTTTTGATGGAGATGGTGATCCAAACTCCCTCCAGAAATATACTTGTAAACAAGAAAAAGTCCCTCTTTTTCAATGCAATAGCCGAGGAGTGGAACAACATGGGGGCTAGATAGGGAGCTTGCAATTAATAGCTCGCGGCAAAAAGCCTTTGCCCTCTCCCTCTCGGATCCATCCACTCTCTTTATCGCCACCGCCGGTCGCCGGAGCCCGTTGCTTATTCTCCCCTTGTAGACCCTGCTCAAAGCCCCTCTCCCCAATTCCCTTCCTGCTCCAGTTCAGTTCATCGTTCATAAGGGCTTCTGCAAAATTGCATTTTTAGGGATAAAGTTCAATTCTTTTTACCTTTGTGAAAGTCCTGAGTAGCAGACCGGATCTGTGCGTAGCTGAACCGAACCAACCCGCCGGCAACAGGACCGATGCTCCGTTCTACAGATTCTAGACTCCGCCATAACTGCCAATCTCTGGTGACTAGCAACGCCGGATCATGCTCCCGTTTTTCAGCCGTTGCATCCCTTTCGTCTTCCAGGCTCACAAGAAGCAACACTGTCGCCGCGGTGGCCGGCGTCGCATCGAGCTCAGCCTCCTCGTGCGAGCCGAAACTGAACCGAAATGAGGAATTAACCGAGTGCGGCTCAGCTACCGAAGGCTCTCCTTCGGTCTCGGCAAGTAGCCACGATTTGTTTTCCAGGCCGCTGCCGTCTACTGCCCGCTGCCGCCGCCATCGCCGGAGTCTGCTGCCTCCCTCCGGCGGCGG